AGGGATCTGGGCTTGTGAAGGGTGGAGGGGTGTTATGACGGAGAGGGAGAGCTGAATGAAAGAAGACAGGAAAACCTGGGTAGGAGTAGGGAGCAAGGAGAGCGGCAAGAGCCCAGGATCCGGGTAGCCTGAGGGAGGAGGCCCCCAGCCATGGGAGGCCAGAGGGCATGCCAGTGCCTATTGACCCTTCACACACCCGCGCTGCATGGGCCCCCTCCACTGGCTCTGTGAGGGCAGTGTCCTGGCCTCTGAGCTCCACTCTGGGGCCACTAAGGTCACTTGGCACCCTGCTGGGTAGCCGCTGCTCATTTTGTACCTGTTGTTTCCCGGCAGTCAGTCCTGGAAGCATCTCTGGTCCTGTAGTCCTGCCTTCATCTTGAGCCCCTCTCAGTGCCTTGTATTTTTACAGTAGTTTCAGCTTAGAGCAGTGAGTTGTTCGGGTCTCTGGAGCATCTTCAGAGGTCCCTTTTCATCTTCACCAGGACCTTTGGAACAGCCCAAGCCCCATGGTGATGCAGGACAAAGCAGCCGTGGTGGCTTCTTAGACCACAGGCAAGTAGGGGACATGGCTGGTAGTGATCCCAGACCTCAGGAAGCCCGGCTGATGGGTTTCCCATGTGCTGGCCTTCAGTGACACCAAGGGGCTGGGTGGAGAGGAGGATTCAGCTAGAACAGCCTCTTTGGGCTTTCACCTGCGCCTTACGGACCTGGGTCTCTGCGCTCACCTTGAGCCCCCCAGACACGCAGTGTGTCCACAGCGTTAGCACGCTCCCTGGGCCCACTGTCAGCACTGGGGGCTTTTGGAAGGGTGTGTCTGCCTGGCATCACCACATCCAATCCCGCCGCATTCTGCATTTCAGAGCCAGAATACAGGTCTAAAATGCCTGTTTTATTTTAGAAACTACTGTTCTCCCCAGGATTAAAATGTGCAGGAAGCATTCATCCCACCCTTAGTTTAGCTGATAGCCTTACCCGCCCTTGTGTTTTGTTGCAGATCTGAACTTATTTTACCCAATGGCTGTTTTCCTGCATTTCCCTCTAGAGGTATTGGCATTTCGAGAAGCACTTCAGCCTTCCAGATATTTACGTAATTCATTACGGACATATTTTGGACTTACAGTATCTTACAGTACAAAAGAAAAAAAAAAAGACTTTCCTCTTTATTTCCAGAAGTTGTTACAGATTTCTCCTGAATTTAAATTTCCTGAAAATTTGGCCAGGACATGCTGTAAGTTTTTATTCCATTAGGGAACCATAAACAAAACCACTTACCAGCAGGCCTGAAGCAGAGATGAACGCCTGACCTGAGCATCTCTCCTGCACCTTCCTGAGAAACAGACCGAGTGATCACTGTGTGAATTAAAGTCCATTTCCTGGAAACTCACTCATCTCTTGAAGCTTTTAGGAAGACTAAGAGATAAAGCCACTCACTGAGAGATAAAGGCAGGAAAAGTGTCTGTCCCAGTGCAAGCCCATTTCCTAGAAACTCACTCATCTCTTGAAGCTTTTAGGAAGACTAAGAGATAAAGCCACTCACTAAGTGATAAAGGCAGGAAAAGTGTCTGTCCCAGTGCAAGTGTGTGAGGGTTGTTAGTCAGGGGTGTCCTTCATTTTCCGCCAGGGGACTGCACATCCATGGAGTGAACACCCCAGAGGTGGGCAGGGGACCAAGTCCCGCATTGGAGACACGGGGCCCCGGGTCGAAGGCTGTTCTTAGATAAGCTTCATGACAAACATGGCATTTGAGCTGGGTCTTGAGTGGAGCCAGGAGAGAACAGGAATTTTGAAAATTCCTGAGGGAAAAAATGTGAACAAAGAAAGGGACACAGGAAGTAGTTTATTGTTAACTATAATTTTCCTACTATGTTATCAAATACAAGAATGTATTTCTTCTGTCTAACTGCATGTTGGTACCCATTAGCCAACTTCTCTTCCTCCCCACTTCCCTTCCCAGCCTCTGGTAAACACTATTCTACTCTCTGCATCTGTGAGACCCACTTTTTTTGCTCCCACATTTGAGTAAGAACATGTGATATTCGTCTTTCTGTGCCTGGCTTATTTCACTTAACATCATGATATCCAGTTCCATCCATGATGCTGCAAATGACAGGATTCCGTTCTTTTTCTGGTTGAGTAATATTCCATCCTGTATATATTCCACACTTTCTTTATTCATTCATCCATTGATGGACACTTAGGTTGAGTCCACATTTCAGCTATTGCAGACAGTGCTGCAGTAAACATGGGAGTGCAGATATTTCTTCAATATACTGATTTCCTTTCCTTTTAATATATACTCAGCAGCAGGATTAATGGATATTTGGTTGTTCTGTTTTTAGTTTCTTGAGGAACGTCCGTACTGTTTTCCGTAATGGTAGTACTAATTTACATTCCCCTTTCTCTACATCCTTACCAGCATCTGTTGTTTTTTGTCTTTTTTATAATAGCCAGTTCTAACTAGAGTGAGATGATATCTCATTGTGGTTTTAATTTGCATTTCCCTGGTGATTCATGATATTGAGCATTTTTTCATATGCCTGTTGGCTGTTAGTATGTCTTCTTTTAAGAAACATCTATTCAGGTCATTTACCGATTTTCTAATCAGATGATTTGTTTTTTTGCTATGGAGTTGTTTGAGCTCCTTATATAATCTGGTTATTAATCCCTTGTCAGGTGGAAGTTTGCAGATATTTTCTCCCTTTCTCGAGGTTGTCTCTTCACTTAGCTGTTTCCCTTCCTGTGCTGAAGCTTTTTCGCTTAATATAAACCCATTGTTCTATTGTTGCCTTTTTGAGGTCTTATGCAAAAATCTTTGCCCAAACCAATGTCCTGAAGTGTCTCCCCAATGTTTTCTTCTGGTAGTTCCATAATTTTAGGTCTTACATTTAAGTCTTTAATCCATTTTGAGTTGATTTCTGTATATGATGAGATAAGGATCTAGTTTCATCCTTCTGCACATGGATATTTGATTTTCTCAGCACCATTTATTAAAGAGACTGTATTTTCCCCCGTGTGTGTTCTTGCCACCTTTGTCGAAACCGAGTTGGCTGTAAGTGTGTGGATGTATTTGCGGGTTCTCTGTTCTGTTCCATTGGTGGATGTGTCTGTTTTTATGTGAGTGCCATGCTCTTTTGGTTACTGTAGGTTGGTAGTATCATTTGAAAACACAACCAGTGTGATGCCTTTAGCTTTGTTCTTTTTGCTCAGGATCACTTTAGATCCAAGGTCTTCTGTGGTTTCATATGAATTTCAGCCTTTTTTCTATTTCTGTGAAGAATGTCATTGGTATTTTGAGAGGAATTGCATTGAATTTATAAATCGCTTTGGTTAATATAGACATTTTAGCAATATTAATTCTTCTAATCCATGAGCGTGGGATATCTTTCCATTTTTTCAGGTTCTTCCTGTTGAGTTACAGGGGTTCTGCGTATGTGATGGGTATTAATCCCTTATCAGAGATATGATTTTTAAACATTTTCTGTCATTCTATTGGTTGCCTTTTCACTTCGATAGTGTCCTTTGGTACCCAAAGTTTGTAATTTTGATGAAATCCAATTTATCTGTTTTTCCTTTGGTTCCTGTTTTCCCTGTTTTTTTGGTGGCATCGTACCCAAGAAATAATTGTCAAATCCAGTGTCGTAATGCTTTTCTCCAGTCTTTCCCTGTATGAGTTTTATAGGTTTAGCTCTTACATTTAGGTCTTCAATCCATTTTTAGTTAATTTTTGCATACAATGTTAGGTAAGAGTCTAACTTCATTATTTTGCATGTGGATGTACAGTTTTCCCAGCACCGTTTATTGAAAAGATTGTCCTTTCCACATGGAATGGTCTTGAGGAAAACGTTTGGCCATTTGTGTGAAGCCATGCATGGCACCCTTGTGGAAAATGATTTAACCATATATTTGAGGATGTGTTTCTGGTCTACCTTGTGTGGGCTGTAAATCTGTCTTTATGCCCACACCACGTGCTTTGATTAACATAGATTCATAGTATGTTTTGAAATCAAGATGTGTGAGACTTCCAACTTTGTCCTTCTTTTTCAAGATTGTCTTAGCTATTGATTCTATTCTTTTGCATTAGAAATCAGAAAATTTATTGCCTACAAAATCATTTTGAAAGTACTACTCAAGCCTTCTAGTAAAATTGAAAAGTAAAGGAGCAATGAGAGATATGCAAATTATTTATGATCAATCAGCAAACACCAAAACACAGTCATGTTACAAGTAATAATATAGAACTGAAGCTTAAAGCAGTTGTTAAGAATTATGACTCCTGAGAAAGTAGAACACAAAAATCAAAAGGAATTTCAAATTAACATTTTAAATGATTTCAACAAAATATAGCAGGTAGCAGAGGAAGAGATGGGAATTAGATTGAACTAGGGGCCTTATCCTGTGTGGAAATTAGAGGTTATGTATGTTATTTAACTGAGTAAAAATTAAATTTTATCTATAAGTTATTAGATAAATGACCTAAAAAGGTAAAAATATACAGACATCTGCTGACCTAGGGGATGCCCAGTCCAGATGGGGTGCACCTGGTTCTGTGTGAAGTATGAACAGCCCCCTCACTTTGAGGTTCCCCGCAGATCACACCCCCAGAACCTCTCTCCCAGAATCTCAGAAGTCAGAGTTCAGTGTTCGAGCCCCGCTGAGAAGCACAGTTCCCTCCCCTGGCACATCAGCTTCTAGGAGCTCTAAGCCCACCCTCACGTCTGTTAAGTCTACACAGATGAGACTTTTCCCATTGATCCTCATCTGTCTCCTGATGGGACATTCATTTAAAAATTAAAGGGTGGGGTCACGTGTTAGGAGTGGGAGACAGGGGTGTGGGATTCACCAGCCAATTTCAAATGCATGTTAAATATTTAAAATCATTTTAAAATTTGAAATATTAATATTTAATTTTTTAAATATAAAAAATCCTAACATTGAAATTGTGAATTCTCACTTTCCGTGAAGTGTGAACATTCTCTTTGATTCTCATTGTCTTTTCCAGAGTTCTCAGGCGCTGTGGTCTCACCTTCCACTGGGGCAACAATGGGCCATTTCCAGCAGGGACGGTGCGGCGTTGGCCTGCATGCCTGACTGCCACACACCTCCAGAATCAGGTGTCTGAAAAGTAAGTCCTGTGTTGGTGGGGTCTTAGTGGCAGGCCAGAGGGGCAAGTGCAGTCACTGCCTCTGACAATAGACCTGGTAGTGGTTCTGTGGACTCCCTGGAAATCAAACCTAAAGCCCGGATAAAGTGTAAGGTTCGTTGAGAAAGAGTCATGAAATGTATTTCATACGGCATTAGAATTTGAGATTGGAATAATAGGCATTATTCTTTAAAAGGAAAAAAACAACTGTAGTGATTGACAAGTGACTTGATTTATACCAGTGCAAAATTTGTCATCTGTTGCAACCATTATTGATTTTTAAAATATTATAAGCAAAAGAAAAATAGTCCTATTATCTTAACACACTAATTATTTTCACTTTTACTGTTTCCTCTTCTTATCCAAAAATACAATTTTAATCTGACCGATATCAAGAGTGATAGCAAATTCTTTTGCTTTATCACTCTTGGAACAAATATTTTTATATACCTTCTTGCCTACTTTTTATTTTATAAGCTTTAATTCTACAGAAAACTTGAAGGAATAGAAAAGTGAACACCCATAATTCTTCACCCAGATTTACCAATTGTTTATACACAGACACACGCAGATGGTAAATATGTGTTTGTGTGTGTTTGATTCTTTTTGTCTGAATCATTTGAAAGTAGGTTGTTGACATCATGACACACTTTGGCATCATCTCCTAAGTACACAGCTGCCTTCTACAAAAGTGTAGTACCATTACCACTGTGAAATATAATATTGATAAAGTGATATTATCCAAATATGTTGTCCCTATCCAGATACCTCTGATTGTCTCCCAAATATTCATCATAGCTGTTTTCCACTGTCTAGTGTTCAATTAAGTATCACTCACTGAATTCAGTTATGTCTCTTTTTATCTGAACTAAAGCCCTGCTTTCATTTTTCTCTTTCATGATGTTGATGTCTTTGAAGAGTCTGAGCCACTTGTTTTATGGAGCGCTACCCAGTCTGGACTTGTCTGATTATTTCCTCATACTTAGATTGAGATAGACATTTCCTCCATCTCTCTTTCCAGCACATCAGTGGGCGCCCATGGCTCATGGTGATAAGTTTGTTCACCAGGCTAAGGTCGTTTCTTATGAGCTCTCTTTATAAAGTTACTTTTTTTTTTTTTTTTGAGATGGAGTCTCGCTCTGTCACCAGCTGGAGTGCAGTGGCAAGATCTCGGCTCACTGCAACCTCCACCTACCAGATTCAAGCAATTCTCCTGTCTCAGCCTCCCGAGTAGCTGGGACTGCAGGCACCCACCACCACACCCAGCTAATTTTTGTATTTTTAGTAGAGATGGGGTTTCACCATGTTGGCCAGGATGGTCTCCATCTCTTGAACTCAGGTAGTCCACCCACCTTGGCCTTCCAAAGTGCTGGGATTACAGGTGTGAGCCACCACATCTGGCCTATAAAGTCACTTTTTACATTCTTGTCTTTTACTAGTAAGCAATGGGGCAGACTTTGAAGCTCCGTGAACATTCTGTTCCCTGGCTGATTTTCTCCAGTGATCTTAGCATCCCTTGATGGTTGTATTATGATTTTTAAGCCATTAGTATATTGGGACCTCAGACTTTCTTTGTCACATAGTCGTTTATGTTTCACATTTTCTGTGGTTGGGAGGTCATCACACAAGGGAGCATATGGTGAGGTGGTCAAGAGGACTCTGAAGTTAGACCATTCAGATAGGCATCTAGGTATGCATCTTGTCTCTGTCATACAACAACCAGGTGACTGTGAGCAAACATTTCTCCTCACAAACCTTTAGTGTCCTTATAGTTACAATTAGGAGACTGGGAGTGACCATCGCAGGAGGCATATGGCGGAGGGTAGAGCCTGTGGCTGGCCTTGCTAAGCAGTAGCTGTTAATTATTATCAGACACAGGAAACATGGGCGAGAGCCACTGGATGCTGCTTTTGTTCCTGAGATCTTTTATAAGACCTTTAGCAAAAATGCGAATAAATCTGAATGACAGAGTAGATGCCCCATGCTCTGTGTCCCTGCAGTTAAAAGGTTGCATAGGGAATGAAACCACCACGCCAGGAAGTATTCATCGGTGAACAGTGTCCTGATGTGCCCTCCCCCGTCGGCTTCCTCCTCCTGCTCTTGGTCACCCTTAACTGCCTCCCCTCGCTGGGCCTGAACCTCCCTGGTCTGTTGTCAGGTTTGCCTTTCAGTCACCACTAACCAATTGGGTTTTTTTTTTTTTATCTGAAGATTATGTGTGAGTATTTTTTTCCATTTAGATCAAGTCCTTTTAGTTCTGTTGGCATCCCATTGCCACAGAATGCATCTTCCTTGAGAATGTTTTGAAAATTTTACCAGGAAAACAGTTTGTGCAAATATAAGTTATTTTAGAAGCTACACACGAATATGAATTAGACTGAGTCTTCAAAAAAATTTCTGTTGGAAAACATGTTAATATCTTAAAAATACTTCCTCGGAAAAGGTTACTTGCTTCGTTTTCTTCCCCACAACTCTTAAAAGCAGATGAGAGCTAGTGCTCACAGAGAAGACCGCTCTGCATCCTGCGTCCGGATGACATGCTTTCTGTCGGCTTCTTGTCAGGCTGAGCTTGAAGGGATGGCCCTGTGAGGTTCCCCTGCTTTCTGGGGCGATACCAACCCAGCTAGCCTGGGCTTTACCAGGACCAGAGGACACTTCTTGTGGGCTCCAGCCCCAGGCTTCCCTGAAGCCTCGCCACATCTCCTTTTTCCTTCTTACCAGCTGTTCACATGCCAGGAATCCTTGCTTGTCTCCTCGTCCTCTGTATGCGCTCCTTGGGGATGGCACTGTGCCTTTTCTCTTTTCCCAGGAGCAAACCCAAAGGTTATAGGATGAGTGAAGTGCAGGTGAAAATCAAACCTCTGGTTCTGCATCAACACCAAGGAAATCACTGAGTTTCACTTGAGTGTGTGGATGGAAATATCAGGGCTGCCTTTTCTCAGTTTCCCAAAGCACATCCTGTGGGATATCTGTCCACTTAGAAACCTGAGCTCTCTGGACTTCAGTGAGCTCCACGCTCCAGGCCTGTGTGCTAGAGAACCAAATGGAGGTGGCTGGAAGCCAAGGCAAAGCCCGTGCAGAGAGGCCCACTCCCAGGAGGCTTGCAGGTGCTTGGCCACACTCGGGCGAAAAGGACCCCTCCTCCTCCACAGCCCGGGGCCAGGCCCCTCCCTGCATCTCCCTCTTCCTGTTCCCTTCTCCTGTACAGCAGCAGCCCGGCAGTATGTGTTCCCCGGTGTGGGTTCATCAGCATCACCAGCCGGGAAACCCTCATACCCAGAACTTGGTTTTGGGGCTTACTCTTCAAAGCCCTGTTGCTGAGCCATGGAAAGAGACACAGGCCCCCATGAGATGGCATAAGTATAAATTCACAAAAGGCTTGAAGACACACCCTTAGGGCAGTTCTTAAATCCCCTGGGGGCTTGCTATCCCCACAGACATTGTGCCCCGTAAGTGTGTGAAGGTGGGTCAGCCAGTCAAGATGAGGCCAGGAACCCAGTGTGTATTCAGCACTTTGCTGAATCCCTGTGTACATCTTGGTTACTCCTAGAGCATGCAAAAGCTCAGTTCTCAGGCAAAACCATCTGTCACCATGTTCCAAAGCTTTGTTTAACTCATTAATTAGGGAACCAGCAAAAAGACAAATGATCTGGCTCCGCAAGCATTTGGTAACTGGGATTGATTGATTGATTGATTGATTGATTGATTTTGAGACGGAGTCTCGCTCTGTCATCCAGGCTGGAGTGCAGTGGTGCGATCTCGGCTCACTGCAAGCTCCGCCTCCCGGATTCACACTATTCTTCTGCCTCAGCCTCCCGAGTAGCTGGGACTACAGGCACCTGCCACCACGCCTGGCTAATTTTTTGTATTTTTAGTAGAGACAGGGTTTCACCGTGTTAGCCAGGATGGTCTCAATCTCCTAACTTCGTGACACATCCACCTCAGCCTCCCAAAGTGCTGGGATTACAGGCATGAGCCACCGCGCCTGGCTGGTAACTGGGATTTTTTAAGGTCAGTTGGGAAAGAAATGCAGAAATGAGATGCTAAGTTAAGGCAAACCTCTACAAAGCAATACAAATGGCAAATTTGGAGTTAATTTGTTTACTAGGCAGTAAAAGTCATAAGCTATCAATCCTGCAGGCTAATCTCACAGGGCTATACACCTCTTTATTTTAACCAATTGTGAATGATTAGATAAATATTTGTCACACTGCTCAAGAGCTTCAGAATGAGATCAATCAGACTTTTTTGCATTCTAGCAGAATATCACAGATCCCAGAAATCATCATTTTTCCCTTTTTCAGGTTTGGAATCAATGTTTCCATAACAATCAGCTAAAATATGGTGGTTGACAAGTTGTGAGTGATCACGTAGCACCGTGTGAAGGTGCTGCTTTTTGGCCTGCACAATGCACTTGAGCTCCGGTGTAGACACTGCAAGGCCATGTGTGGGAGACAGCTTCTGACACAGCTCCTAACCATTCCTGCCTCCTGACATTGCATCTTCATATTGTCCCCTGCCCTTGGGTGTGGGCTGGACATAGTGACTCGCTGTTAATAAACAAAATACAGCAGAAGTGACAGGTGTCACTTCCAAGACCAGGATGCAAACGCAGTGGCTTCTGTCTTGCTCAGGCTCTCTCTGACTCTTCTCACATGGTTGCTCTGATGAAACAACTCTGATTTTGTGATCTCACCTTTGGAAAGGCCCACGTGGCAAAGAACTGAGCTTCTTAGTTCAACAACCCTCAGAAACAATTCTGTGAATGATCACATGAGTAAGCTTGGAAGAGAAAGGCTCCTCATTTGAGCCTTCAGATGAGACTGCAGCCTCAACTCACATTTTGATTGCAGCCTTGTGAGAGACCCTGAGCTAAGGTGCACTCTGACTCCTGCTCCACAGAAATGGTGAGATTATGTATATGTGTTGTTTTAAGTCCCTAAATTTGGGAGTCGTTGTTTCACAGCAATAGGTAACTGATG